ATCTGATCTAAAAGTTGAGGAAATATCGTCCTCAACTTTTGCCCTACGAGGCGATGCCTTTATTTTCTAGGTGTCATCCTAAAACCCTTCCTCTGCAGCGCTCTCAGGTACGACGAGGCGTGTTTGAGTGTGTGTTGATACGAGAAGCAGCGAGCGTATAAAACCAGCGAGAGGAACCTCATTAATGTCACATCCTGCAGCGATTCAACGCGACCTGCTGACTTCACCTGAAGAAGGAAAAAAAACAACAGGCAGCTGTTTGGCACGCAGAGGCACTCTGGGTAAAAAAAGAAAAAGAGGAAACACAGAGAGAGGACGTGAACATCCATCGCACTTCAAATATTATCTCACGGCATCAGGACTGATGGAGCGCCGGGCCACGATGTACGGCCCGCTGACGCTCCCATCATCCATCTGCTCAGTGAACGAGGTCTGAGACTCCATTACTCTAAATCTACCTCCTGCTTCCCTGATCTAATACACATTTGAATCAATCAACATGTGCATTCTGATCACAGCATAATGGATTACGAGGAGCAGGAACTGAGTGGAGTGCGTCCAGAGCGACTGCGGTCTGTGGCGAGATAATAACTTCTCTGTGGGATTAATCCAGACCACAGAAGAAGACGCCGCCCGGTCGATGACTTCCTGTTAATAATATTCCTGTACGCCGCGAAGGCAGCGATCTTGAATTGTTCCGCTCGGCGTCGGCGTCGCCTGAATTAACCCTTCCCTCCTCGGAGCGCCGTTAGAGGCGACCCGACGGGATTAAAGAAACGCTCATTACAGGAAACACACACTCAGCCTGTGTGTGTGTGTGTGTGTGTGGGAACAGCTGCCATGTTTTAGCTGTAAACTGTGTGTGAGCTCTTTGGAAGTTGAGTGTTATTATATAACAGAGGGGTGTGTCCAGGCGGAGGGGCACTGACTGATCAGCTTTCCATTCATTCCCAACTTATACTGTTATTATACTACTATTATTCCAACACTGTTTATGGACCACAGTATGCAGAAATATTCAAATACACCAGGAGAAAATAACACTTTTATACCACATGCCATGATTAACATAAAGTGTCTGTAAAGAGGAGACTCGCGGGCTCCCGTAGAACCCATGGGAGGTCAAGGGATCCTCTTTTAAAATGCCAACTACAAGTGATGTTATTCTCACTGGAACAACTTGTTTTCCATTTTTAATGATTTCACTTTCTCCTTCAATTTCATTACAATAAAATGTCTAAAAACATCGTAACGTGCATCACATTTTTTTTTAAAGTTGCATTTTAGGGTGCAATAATCCTGAAAGGACTGACTCTTCTAATTAAATCAACACTTTGTAACATTTGGTATTGGGCGCCCCCTGTAGCAATCCCTCTGTGGTTAATATGGACATTTGTTTTGATTATATTACCAATGATCAAAAATTTGCGAGTCAACAACTTCACTAACACAGTCAAACATCAAGTAAGTGCAACCAAAGGCGAGCTCGCCGTCTCTCAGACTTTGATTTCACCAAGCTCTCTTCATACGACCCCTCAAAGCCAGTCCTACATTTAGGCTCACATCCAACTGACAGTGTTTCATTAGCAGAGGTTTTCCCTCCTTTTTTTTGTTTTTTTTTTTTTAAAAAAAAAAAAAAATTGGGTGTTTTTTTTTTTCCAAAAGGGGGGGGGGGGGGCTTCCCCCAAAAAGAGAGGAGTTACAAAAAAAAACAGATAATATTTTCTCCATAAAATCTGATCCAGTTATTAGTTGGTGGTGTGTGACTTGTTGGAAAGACGTGGACAGACGGCCCAAAGATGCATGAAGTAACTTTGTTTGAATGAGCTCTAAAAACTCCCAAATTCCCCCCAAAAAATCTGTGTTTGAAGATAATTTTGGCAAAATTAAGTTTTAACATGTAAATAAAATCCTGAGTGACACTGTTATACTTCCTCCTTCAGAAATCCATAAAACCCCATAAACTCTGCAAAATTACAATTTATCTCCATGCTGCTCAAATAAAAGTAATAAAATAAAGAAATCAGCAGATCTTCTTGAATATTTCCAGCTGACATTTACACACGTTGAAGAAAGAACAGGCGGCGTTTTCACTTCCAAGAACTACAGGCGAATTAGAGATTAAAGAGATAAAACTTTGCTCTTTTATGTCTTAAGCACTTTGCTAATTAGCAGCGCGGAGAGAGAGGATGAATACATTTCGGTAAATGGAGTCGGAATAAAAAACAGGACAGAAAACAACAGAGTGAATGAACGACCCCCCCGGGGAGCCGAGGGTCGCTTCATTACATGTCGATGGAAATGATGCAAGCGGCTGCACATTATACTGCTCTGCACTGTAGAAAATACCAGTTACTCTTTAAAATCATTAGGCTGCCTCAACTTTTATAGCAAGTTACCCAAAACTGTTCAATGTAAAACATCATGAAACCATAAGTTCAACATGTTTACAGTCTCTGGTTCAGAAAACCTCCTGTATACTGAATATACTGAATATATTGTTTGTACTTCTGTCTTTGTAACTTTAAGAGGAGTTCTTTTGTTTAAGATATGATTACAGTGTGTGAGATCAATTATCCAACAGATCTGTTCTGGGTTGATTATGTGTTTCCTGTATGTTGTTGTCCATGTTAACACAGCCTAACCCGGTCTCACTCCAAAGTCGTCAAATCCAGCAGCTTGGTCAGTTCCCTCTTCTTCAAAATGTGGCGCTGTAGTTCTGACCTCTAGAGTCACTCCTGGAAGCGCCCGCTGTCGAGGTTTGTGATGTACTAATAGCCAGGAGGTCTGCATATGAAGGAGGTGGATGGATGGCTCACACAGACACAACTTTTGAGATGCTGGTGCTCTAGTGTGACATCTACTGGCAGTGAATTTATATACATATATAACTGTAAAGAACTTCTCAACCATGATGGTTTACAACTTGACTTACTTCTTGACTTAAACCCGTTCCTCTTCTAGGGAGCACAGGCCACTGACACCTCTCCTCCAGCGGTTCCTGGGCCGACCGCTCGTCCTTGTGGGTTACATTTAATTCTTAATTAGGATTTAGAGTTCATCACAGCACAGAGACAGCTCTGGTTAAAGTTAATAATGACCTTCTGATTGCTTCTGACAATGGACTTGTCTCTGTACTTGTATTATTAGATCTTAGTGCTGCATTTGACACCATTGACCATAATATTCTTTTACAGAGACTTGAGCATCAAATTGGCATTAAAGGAACCGCACTAAGCTGGTTTAAGTCATATTTATCAGATCGCTCGCAGTTTGTACATGTTAACGATGAATCTTCAATAAATACTACAGTTAGTCATGGAGTTCCACAAGGTTCTGTATTTGGACCAATACTATTTACTTTATATATGCTCCCTTTAGGCAACATTATTAGGAATCACTCCATTAACTTTCACTGTTATGCAGATGATACGCAGTTATATCTATCAATCAAGCCCGATGAAATTAATCAATTATCTAATTTACAAACATGTCTTAAGGACATAAAATCCTGGATGACCTGCAATTTTCTGATGTTAAACTCAGAAAAAAACAAAATTCTTGTTCTTGGCCCCAAAAACCTTAGAGACTCACTGTCTAAAGATATAGTTACTCTAGATGGCATTAACTTGGCCTCTAGCACCACTGTTAGGAATCTTGGAGTTATCTTTGATCAGGATTTGTCATTTAACCCTTTAAGCCAAGTCGAAATTCGACAGGACGCGGTACTGAATCAAACAGCTGTTTCCCTAATAGAGCGTTATATCTCATTCATACTCCCCTCCACTAGTTGGCGACATCCCGTACTTAGACCTTAGCTCAGAAAACGTCATGTTTTCATGCAAAATGTTCGAGGAAGACCCGTCCAAACTGTTGGGCGAGAAACCGAAATAGGCCCACGGCGCTATTTATGCTGAAGCGGTATTGCTGGATTTAGGAGTTATTGAGACGAAATGAACAAAATGGCAAGCAAAAGTTGACAAGGATGGGTCTCCTGTTCGCGACTCTGATTCTGAAGGGAAAATCTACCTTTGGGAGATGACGGCCGGTCGATTAGTGAGCGGATAGTCACGGTGCGCTTTGCACCGGCGCTGCCGGGCAGAGCGGGAAAGCACACAAGCACAAACACACGACCCTTGCCTAACATAGGTGGGGTACTACACAAACTCGTAGTATCAGTAGGGGAGCTAATGGATGTGGTAGAAGTAGCGGGGGTGGTGAGAACAGCGGTGGGACCAGCGTAGCACTCATTCTACCGCGCTGGTCACAGTGCGTCCATGCGCGGCAGTGGCGCAGCCATCCGATGCGGATGTGACCTGTCCATTTGTTAGGCTATGTGGTGGGGTCTCAATATTGTTCATATTGTCTCTGTACTGTGCCTTGCAATGAGAGGTTCCACACTCTACAAATACTACAAACTTTTATCTGATAGATCAGATTAGGCCTCTGCAGCTAAAGACGCCTACTGTTATTATTATCATATTATAATGATAATAATAATAATATTAATAATAATGAAGAAGAGAATAAAAAAAAGAAAAGTGTCCTCAATGGGGGGGTAGTGGGTAAAAAATCATAAAAAATGCCTACTGTTTACATGAGCTTTGTGGTAGTAATAGTTCTAGTTTACGACTGTTGGCTTACAATTTACTTTTACCTGTTCATTTGATATGTGGACAACGTAACAAATAGATGGAGGGTGAATCTGATGAAATAAGTTCAAGTCTCTTTCAAAATATCAGGTATTTCATGGAAATTATATTATCCAATATGGCCGTCACCATATGACGTCATAATATGCAAATTAGATGGGAAAATTGACTACCTAGATAAACTTTAGGTAATTCTCAATATTTGTCTCATTTACACTTTGTCTCTATCTCAAAGCACTTTCAAGCCAGAGCCTCCTGAAATTTAGATGTCAAAATCTAGTATTTTCAAAATAAAACCCGGCGCCTAAAGGGTTAACTCCCACATAAAGCAGACCTCTAGGACTGCCTTCTTTCATTTATGTAATATTACAAAAATTAGACAAATACTATCACAGACAGATGCAGAAAAACTAATCCATGCATTTGTTACTTCAAGGCTGGATTACTGCAACTCTTTATTATCAGGTTGCCCCAATAAGTCCATTAAAACGCTTCCAATTAATTCAGAACGCTGCAGCACGAGTACTGACAGGAACTAGAAAAAGAGATCACATCTCTCCTGTACTAGCTTCTCTGCATTGGCTCCCTATAAAATGTAGAATAGAATTTAAAAGCCTCCTCCTTACCTATAAAGCTCTTCATGGTCAGGCCCCTTCATATCTTAAAGAGCTCATAGTACCCTATTACCCCACTAGAACACTACGTTCTCTGAATGCTGGGCTACTTGTGGTTCCTATAGTCTCTAAAAGTAGAACAGGAGCCAGAGCCTTCAGTTACCAAGCTCCTCTCCTGTGGAACCAGCTTCCAGTTGTGGTTCGGGAGGCAGACACCCTCACCACATTCAAGAGTAGGCTTAAGACATTCCTCTTTGATAAAGCTTATAGTTAGGGCTGGATCAGGTGAGTCCTGAACCATCCCTTAGTTATGCTGCTATAGGCCTAGACTATCGGGGGATTTCCCATGGTGCACTGAGCTCCTCCCTTCCTCTCTCTTTCTGCACTCATTCATGTCCCATTAACGCATGTTACTAACTCCACTTCTTCCCCGGAGTTCTTGTGCTTTCTCGTCCTGCAGGTTCTTGTCGATCCTGGTGGAGCCTCCTGCCATGGTCCTGCTAGATTGCCATTGCCAATACTGTTGTTGCTGTGCACCTGTCTGTCTTTCTGTCTGTCTGTCTCTCTCTCTCTCTCTCTCTCTCTCTCTCTCTCTCACCCCAACTGGACGAGACAGACGACCACCCACCTAGAGCCGGAGGATCTGTCCTAGGTTTCGCCTTTTAACAGGCAGTTTTCCTTGCCCTTGTCGCCAAGTGCTTGCTCATGGTGGTACTGTTGGGTCTCTGTAAATAATGTTTTAAAGAGTTCGGTCTAGACCTGCTCTATTTGAAAAGTGTCGTGAGATAACTTCTGTTATGAATTGGCGCTATACAAATAAAATTGAATTGAATTGAATTGAATTAATTAGAAGGTCATTGATATCCTGGCTTGTTCCTTTCCAGAGGTCCATGCTGCTGATCTTGTCTCTCCTCCAGATGTTTAATATTTTCCTGATGTTAATAAATGTTTGCAGCTGGTTTGTTGTGTGTCTTGTTGTTCTTCATTTGTGTCCGATCCAAACACGACGGACGCTGCTGACATCTCGTGTTAGCGCTCAGTCGGGCGTTCATTCAACTCTCTTCTTCAGTTGTCCATCGAACTTCGATGGCGACATCCACTCCTTTGACAGTGAGGGTGTGTATATGTGCACTCCATCTCCAACCTACAGACTCCATCCCTGCACAGCGGTGTGGTACTGGTGGCAGCAGCCCGCTCCAGGTCATGTGGTGTGATCACGCATTTCCTTAAGGCGTTTTTCATCTGGTCTTTGTAGCACGTCTTCTGCCCTCCAGCAGAGCGTCGACCGTACTGCCCGTACAGGACTCTGAGTGGTAGCCGATACGGGGTTGACTTGGTGTTTCTAATTTAAATATTTTATTTAGTGAGGGGTGCCAGCCAGGTCTGGTATTTAAGATTTTAGTTTATTTGTGGTGTTTTGGGTTTTTGTAAGGTTTTAATCAAACTGCTCTTCAGGATGCACACACACAGCTAAATGTACATTGAATGACATAAATACTGAAATTACAAAGGTAAAGTAAAAATCAAAAATATATTTACAGCAAAATAACCCTGAAAGTTCAACAAAAAACAGAAATAATCTCAGAGTTCCAGTTATGTTCAGTTAAGCTCATAGATCAAAAAGTTCAAACTCATTTCCATAAAAAGAAAAACCGAAAAACCTTATAATAAATAAATTGTTTCGCACTTACAGTCCAGGCTTCTGGATAGTGGATGAACGAGCTTCAGTGAACAGCTGACAGCGTTGTAGTGAGGCAATGTCGGATGGATCGGAGGATTTTTATTCGCGACCACCTGAGCGTGTTGCGGCGAACAGAAACTCTCCTGCACTCTTCAAAACCTGAATTAACGATGGACGGAAGTGAATTGTGGTGCGGACCGGGAACCAATCAGTAAGTGGACAGCTGTGTTCTGGTGATGCTATCCAGGTGATAAAATCCTGGTTGTCACAACGTGAGTGTGAGGTACATGATCACGACAGGTATCTCTCCGAATGCACTGGAGGATGATTCACTGATCATGAGCTGATGGTCTGACACTAACGAGCTAATAATAGAGGAATCAGTTGATTTGACTCATAATATGAGAGAGTTTTACAGTGTTGCTCTGTTTTCCGGGTAGATGCAGTGTGAGCGTCGCTCGGCTGTAACTGCAGAAGAAGGAGAAGCAGCTCATGTTTAATTCATCGACCTCGCACGTCCCTCAAGTTAATTCCACCGCGGGCACTGTTTATTTCTGCTTTGTACTTTTGTTTAAAGCCAGTTGTTGACAACTCTTGAACATGTCAAACTATCACCGCTAATAATTGCTTAAGGAGCTGGAACTTTCTGCAAATGTTGGTTCCAGCACAAAACACTCCTCCTCCTCTCTCTCTCTCTCTCTCTCTGTCTCTCTCTCTTCGCTCCTGAAAGTCTCTCAGATGAATTTTTGATTTTTTCCTCTTCAACGCCGACTCTCAGCAAAAAGATTCCCTCTGTAATTCAAAGCGATGGCTGCGAGATAAAGAATAAAAAAGAATAATGTAGCGCCGCTGCTTCTTCTTCCGAGAGCTGCTTTCATTCTTTTTTTCTTTTTGTCATGTTTGGTGGGAAAACTGTCAAGTGCTGCTCTTTCTCTTCTTTTTTGATTAGTTCAGTTTCTTTTCTCCCTCTCTGGCTTTTTGTTCTTGACCCAGGAATCCTAAAGAGGCTCCTTCTTCCTCTTCTTCTTCTGTGGTGGAGTTGGGAATAATAATGTTATGCTGAGGAAGATGAATCGGTACAGGCGCCGGCCCCGGGGCGGTATACACCTCTCTCTTTGGGTCAATGCCATTTCTCTTCAGATCGCGTCGCCGCCACTCAACTGGAGCTGCCAGTTGATTAATCCCAATTAGACGGGCTGTCACTTTCCCGCAGAGAGGGAGGGAGGGAGGAAGGCGACGGCTTCCTCTCTGACAGAGGCAGAGGAAGCACAGGAAAGAGGATTTTTCCACGTCTGTCTGTGATCTGTCTGTCTCTCCACAGACAGACAGACAGACAGACAGACAGACAGACGGGGGAATAATGAGTTCCTCTCAGAGAATCAGACTTGACTCGTCTGACAGGGAAGAGGCTCGGCAGCATTTTTAAACACCTTTTTGTCTGTCAGTCCTCACTGTTGAAGAGACAGGAAACATCCACATCACAGCCGGCGTCACTGCACACTTTCTGCAGAACACATTTAATGACTTTTTAATAACCGCAGAAAAACAGAGAGGAAATAAAAGACGACAGGAAGAAGAACACAGTGGGATGACAACAAGTAAAAGATGTCATGAGGTGTCTGCGGCCTCAGCTCTCAGATCAACGTTTCCCTTTTAGAAACAGCAACGCATCCATAATTAATAATATGAAACCTGATTAAAGTATTGATTAGTGGTTTTAATAAACTCCTGGAGGAAGGATCCAGATCTAAATATACTCTGTAGAAAATTATGCTTAACATCCTCCTCCACACATGTATGAAGACATAAATACAATAATGTGTGTCTGAAAATAAAGTTTAATTTCCACATTCAAATCCTAAAACGTAATTTACTCAATCTACCTCAATAACAACTGCAGAATATATGAATATGCACAGTATTGGAATCACATAGATGTAGTAGATTGTAGATTCAATGAGCCCAGAGGGAGTGACAGTTATTAACAAATAATAGTCATAGGTATGTTTTTATTTGTGTAACCTGAATATGGGAATCACCAAGTTCAACCACCATGTTTCTACAGTAGCCCAGAAGGGACAAACCAAACACTGGCTCTAGAAAGGACCTTTCACTGTAGTTTCTCCCGCACACAAACCGTTCTCGTTCCCAGGTTGTCAAATACAGACGCAGGGAAGGGGCCAGGACCCCAATTCAGCATAACCCTAAACCCTTAACTCCTTAACAAGGACATTTTCAGTGCTGTCTTCTTAGCATAAAGCTAGCTACATGTTTACACAGACACAGTTAAGGAGTACATCACATTACAGTCACAGTACATTGATGTACGCAGGGTTTTAGGAAATACAGCGGCTCAAAATCTGAACTTACTATGCGGTTTTTGTGGTATCAAGGCAGTTATTTTGAGGCAAATATTTCACTACACTTATTGGATAAGGACCTGAGTGGTGGGTTCGTCAGTGGTAGTCAATAAAAAGTAAGGATACGCGTGTGGACAAACATGCTTGTACTGATGAGTACCGGCCCATTTCAGGCACTGATCACCACTAGATGGCACTTAATCCAACACACTGGTCCTTTAAGTACAGTTCTGCGGAATTTGTACTTCAGTGTTTCTATTTCCCCGTCTGTGACACAGCAGCCTTCAGTGTTGATAGGCTAATACTTGTGTTGTGTAACCAATCAGACCAATCCGTGCTGTGGACGGGACATTGAGTGAGACTACAGACAGAGAGAGGAAGCTGTATCAGATAATTCCGATAATTGGAAAAATGCTGAATATCAGATTCTGCCTTATATCATCTTCAGGTTTCCAGCTTTCAGACAATGTGTAACACGTTTATGTGACATATTGTTGACCTACTGGTGTATTGTAGGGACGGGTGGTGTGGAAGACTTTAACGTTTATGAATCAGTAGAAAGAATTTAACACATTCATCCACCAAAGTTTCCAATTGTTCTCAAACTGATCAGAAAAATTCTGATTAATTAGAGAATAAATCTGATAAAATTGCTTTAAGTTTACTTCCTCCTGTAGTCCTACCTGCCCTCTCAGACAGTGTCGATACATTGGACATCCTGCACTTTATAAGCTGTTTATCTCTCCAGAAATAGTTTCCAGGCGTCTGAAGCTCACCTGTGTTTCACCTGCAGTGGCTGTTGAACACAGGACTCAGTAGTTTTATCTTCTGCGTTGTTGTCGGCTGTTTATTTGCTCTGCTGTCTCTCACTTTGTCTCCTCGTAATGAACTAACTGAAGAGCTGCGGCGTCTCCTGACGGCTCAGAGGTTAGCTTTAATGTTCCCTGTTGTTTCTGTGTTTTCCGCGGGCTGTAAACAACCCTGTTCCACTCACACACACATGCTCAGAGTCTTCATATTACAGAACATTAAATATTCATGTAGCTTCTTCTGCGAGTAAAGTGTCAACAGGGTATTTGCCTTTTAACGACAGAGATACGGCAAATATTGAAAGCTGCAGTCAGACAGATGTTTTTATGGAAATGTGAAAACATGTTCGCTTTCAGGAGCCATTTAGAAGGTTTGATACAATAAATATCTCTGATAAATAGATCGATAGATCGATAGATCGATATGACATACTTCATGACTGTTTAGTGTGAATGGTAAATGGTAAATGGACCTGTACTTGTATAGTGCCTTTCTAGTCTTCCGACCACTCAAAGCACTTTTACACTACGTGCCACATTCACCCTTTCACGCACATTAACACAGCGATGGCAAAGCCCATCGAACAGAAACTAATGCATTCACACTCCGATGCACGTCATCGGGAGCAATTCGGGGTTCAGTATCTTGCTCAAGGATACTTCGATATGTGGCACCAGGAGCCGGGGATCGAACCAGTGTGACATCCCTTTATTAAGAAACCACAATAGTCCTAAAAATGTTCCGTTACACCAAAAGTCCACAGCTCCGTCAGTCTGTACAAAACATACACTCTCCCTGGAG